GGGGGAAAAAAATGTCGCTCTAGTTACCTCCAAATCATAAAACGACTGTTGGATATGAAGTACTAAATGTCTCCCCTAAAATTTGATTTCATTCCGTTAAAGTCTCGCCGTTGGATTCACCTGAGAAGTCTTTTTTCTTTCTTTTTCTTTTTTCTCTTTCTCCTATTTTCTTTCTTCTTTCTTTTTTCCTTGCTGACGCTTTCTTTCTCTCACAGCAACGCTGTTCTTTTCCTTTTTGCCTCTATTGTCACTACCTCTCTTTTCTTCTATATATAGACATCATTCATGTTAATTTTTTTATTTTAAAATTTAGGTTTTAAAAAAAGCAAATAAGCCATGAGCCCAGGTCACAGACCCAACAAATCTCTCATCTCGTAACTATAAGGGAGTAAATCATAATCTAACTCTCACTTGAAGTCCATGTGTATAGGCTCCTTGTTTAACTCAAACTTCTCTCTAGTAACGATTTTAATCAACATGTTAGAGTGAAGAGTTAGATAATGGTTTCCTCCCTCATGGTCACAATGAGGGAGATTTATTGGGTCCGTGACCTGGGCCCATGGCCTATTTGCTTTGTTTAAAGTTTAAACCTAAATTTTAAAAAAATAAAATGAGATAAGCGATATCTATATATAGAAGAAAAAAGTGGTAGCCGTAGTAGAGAAAAAAAGAAAGAGAGCAGCGCCTCTATGAGAGAGAGAAAAAAAAGTAAAGAAAGAAAGCAGTGATAAGACAAAAAGAAAGAAAAGAGAGGAGAGATTAAAGAGAAAAAAAAAAAAGACTTATCCGATAAATCCAAAAACGAGACTTTGTCGGAATAAGCTCAAATTTTAGGAGATTGTTCTTGGCATCTAGTACTCCATATCCAATTGTTGTTTTGTGATTTGGAGGTCTCTAGAGCGATATATTTATCCCTTTGGAGCATAATTGATGACTTCCTTCCTCACTTTTATATCTTGATTTCCATTTTTAGATGATGTTATTTGATTCCTATATTGTTGCATAGAGAGAGAACATTGTGTTTGTGTATCCATTATTATTATTCAATGATAGTAATAGTAGTGATTTGAGTGGACTTCGATAAATGTGTCGTGATTTTTTTCCACATTAAGTTTTCTTTGAGCATTACATGAGAATCGAATTGCAAACCTAATACACATTAAACACACCCAACACCACATTGAGTTTTCTACGATAAGTTTTGTGTGCCAATTATTTTTATTCTTCTTCTTTATTTGTTTTAAAATTGTTTACTTAAATTTATACTTAACAAACAAACTCAATTAACAACTTATCAATATCACAAAGGGAAGAAAAAGAAGAAAGAAATATTCCCTAAAAAATTCCGTCGAAGTATTAGTGCTTGTCCACCAAGGCAACAAACATACGTAATTGGATTGTGACTAGGATAAATTACGGAGGCCATAAATTGTAATTAAGAACATTGAAATTCTATTAATTAAGACAACAAGAATGTAACCTATAAGGAGAGTGACTTAAGTGGTAAGAAAGATTAACTCATCGATTAAAGGTCACTTCAAATTTTAAGATTCGATCCTGTAGAAATATATTCGTAAGGAAAAACAGTCTTAATACCATGAATGAAGATTGGTCTTTCACCAGGGAATTAAACATTGTAAGAAAAAAAAAATATGCAACAAGACTTGTTCGGAGGGACAATCTCATTAGCCCAAACAATTTATCTTATGTTGAAGAAGCTCGTGAAAAAAAAAAAAAAAAAAACCCACACGCACATACAAATAACAAGAAAGTGAGGTAAAAGATCATCAGAAGGATGTGGGCTTTCAATTATTGTTATCCGTTTCTCTCATCATTATATGTATGTATATGTTTGAATAATTCACGGAAACATCTAATTATTTTTGTCAAGAATAGTGTTGACTACGAAAATAAATAAATAAAACTTAAATGATGAGTTAAACTTATTGGTAGCGTAATTTCGAAGCTTTTGATCTATAAAATGGATTGTAATTTGTTGCAAATCCCAAAATTGCGTCAATTCGTTCGATAATTTAAGAGTTTATATTATAGCATCCACGCTGTACATGCTGAGTTGCAAACCATCACTCACCAATTACAAGAGAAAGTTGCAAACCATCACTTTGGTTTGAGATCAACCTTGAATTTTATATTAAATTTGAGGTTAACCCAAGAAATATTTAGAAATTCAATTTTTTTTATACTCACCTTAATTGCCTTTTTGAGACAAATCAGCTTACAATATTCTTAGCTATAAAATTACTCCCGAGTCAAGGTTTAATCACAGTTAAAGATTTTTGTCTTTTCTAAAAATATATATGTGAAAATCGAACTCAAATTTCTCATCACCTACTTGACCTGTGTTCCCAATTGAATTACAATTATTGAATAGAGATTCAATTTTAGAGCCAAAGCCACCGCAAACGAATCAGATCAGTTTTATGCACTTTAGCTTTAACTCAGCACCAAATGAACGTTGTTTCGATGTTTTTATATTACATAAGTATTTGGCATAATTACAACTAACAATGCGCGTAAGCAAACTATAAAAGCCGCAAACTAGAGGGCTCAATCTAGCTGGATCTAGCTATTACGTATGTTGGAATCAAAAATAAAATTTATCAATTGGCACATATGAATAAAATACTATAGCACATAGAATTATCTAATAATATAAAAAGAAAGTTATATTATAGATATCTACCTTCTAATTTTCCAATAATGGGAAGACAAAGGTGCAAATAGCTGTTCTTAAACTTTAATTTAACTAAGATACAAGGAACACATCCCATGGCATGCACCTTGGTTGCCACAGCAAGATTCAGGGTTGTGTGCATAATTAATTAAAACCATGACATCATTTTCATTATCTTGCCGTAACTAGACATGATTCTTGGTATTATGATGATAATCTCTCTCTCTCTTAGGGATATGTTATTTTTTATATTTTTTTTCTGTCTACTTTTTTTTATTATTCTCTAATATTATTATATCGTAATCTCGGTAAGAAAGAGAAATGATAAAGATAGTTGAGATTCTGATTTAACAATGTTAGAAAGTGATAGGCAAAGATAGGTAGAATAATTTATCCCATATATATATATGAGGTAGGATACTTTGACATCAGTGTCAAATTTGAAATTTGACACTTCATTTGAGAGTCATTAGATCAGAAAAGATCAACGACTCTAATTTGTAAGCATGTGACACCATTGATCTTTTTTGATTTAACGACTATCAGATGAGATGTCAAATTTCAAATTTGACACTGATATCAAAGTATCCTACCTATATATATTTATGGAAAAATCATTTCTCAAGCAGCTTGAGATAAGTTTATCTCCGGCTACTTCAAAACTACGTCGTTTTATTTATTTATTTCCTTATATCAATTGATTCACCTTTGAATGGTTATGATTTCTTTTTTCTCTCTCTTCCTTTATCACCATTGATCCATCTTTGTACGGTTATGATTTAGTAGCCGGAGATAAGATTATCTCAAGCAGCTTGAGAAATGATAAGCCTTATATATATATATATATATATATATATATATATATATATATATATATATGTTATACGCTCAATCTTAGTCGTTGATACTATTTATATTTAATGTTTCTAATTTATTATATATATGAGCTGTTAGATGCTAACAAATCAATAGCCAAAATTTGTTGTTAGTTTTCTTATTGTTATAACGGTGTAAAAATAACTTGATTTATATATATATATATATATATATATGTGGAAAAAAAATATTTCTGCAGTCACTTTAGATAAGCTTATCTACAGCTATCCATTTATAACTACGTTCTCCTGGGAGAATATAGTTATAACATTAAAGTTGGTTTTTTTTTCTCTCCACGTCAGCAGACAGGTTCTGAAAAGTAAATGAGGAGAGAAAAAAAAATAACTTTTAATGTTATAACTATGTTCTCCCGGGATAACATAGTTATAAAGGATAGCTGTAGATAAGCTTATCTAAAGTGGCTGCAGAAATGTTTATCCCTATATATATAGGATCTTTTGACACCGGTGACAAATTTCAAATTTGACACTTCATCTGAGGGCTGTTAGATCAAAAAAAATCAACGGCTCTGATTTGTAAGCATGTGACACTTTGATCTTTTTTGATCTAATGGCTCTCAGACGAGGTGTCAAAGGATCCTACCTCATATATATATATATATATATATATATATATATATATATATATATATATATATGGAATTATGGTGCATATTTAAATAAACGTTAATAAGTATGAAACAAAGGAACAGAAACGCGGGCTTTGAAGTCTTAAGTCAAATAACCCCTGTAATACACATGTGCAGAACAAGATGTAGGCCATTCTGCGGAAAATAAAACAGAGGTATATAAGGAGAAACTTGACAACTGTTTCTTTCTTGAGGCAAAAGAAAACAGCTCAGCTGCGGCTGCAAATAAAGATTTTACGCTTACTCAAATAATAATAAGTTTTTAAGGATCATATTTTCTCATTTGTTTTTGGTGGATAGAAGTATTAGGTGAGAAAAAACTCTTTTCATTTCAAAATCAAGACAAAACACCACTCTCAATTAGGATTTACAGTATAAGAATTTTTCAATTTTAACACAAACATGCTGTTATCACTTACCTTAATCAATGTCCAAATTAGTTATTAAATATTTTGTCGCTAATGTTTATACTTTATAAACAAATAGTTGAAAAATTCAGCAACTAGCCCGTAACGTGTTGGAACAACAGGTAAAGGCAAACTACGTCAACTAAGTTAGCTAGAGTTCAAATTTTAATGGGACAGTCACTTATGAACTTAAATGACTATGCAAATAAAAAAATTACTAACTTCCAATTACCATTGGTTGAAGCTCTTTAATTAGGGGTTTCAAGTTTGAATCTGAGACTGAAAATAATGGTCTAAATAAAATATGAGCTGGTTAACAAAATTGAGGTAACACCTGTAACACCTAGTATCACGGCAACTTGTCTCGTAGCCAATTGATACCCAAATATTTGAGAGGGACATGATTTGTGTTTGTTTGTGGGACAACAGAAGTCATTACAAGCATGATTTTTCACATTAAATTTTGGCATAATTTGGGAACACAACTTCTTCATCTATATAAAGGGAACCACTTCCCCTTTAAACGTACAATTTGGTACCCCAAAATTTTTGTCCGAGACCAGATAGAAGAACCCCTTGTTCCCCTTCTCTGATTTCCCCCTCTCTCTTAATTACTCTGTTCTTTTTCTCTGCTCTTGAACTCAACAAATGGGTATTCTTGATTATCTTTCAGATTATTTCTCAGTATCCCCCTCCACTAGAAAGAAACGCAAAACAATGCAGGTTTTCTTTAGTTCTCAGTCCTTACTAATGAAAAAATCAAGGTGTTATATTGTGTCCCTAGTCTTAAAACTAATTCTGATTTTTTATGCTTCTTCTTTCTCTTATAGACGGTTGAAATCAAGGTGAAAATGGACTGTGATGGCTGTGAAAGAAGAGTTAGGAATTCGGTTGCACACATGAAAGGTTAATTAATATCTCTCTCTTTCTTACTCTTTCTTTATAGACCTAATGCTATTGCCATTTAAAATTAACATGCATGTCTCACAAGACATGAACATCTTTTCCATTATTTCTCTTCTTATCTAAAATGGGAAGGGTTATATTTACAAACATTTTTGTTTACAAACTACACTATGTTCTCACAGGAGAACATAGTGTAACCTAGTGTTCTCCCAGAAGAAATAGTGTAATTTGCAAAAATTTGTAAGCGGACCTTCCCCGTCTAAAATTGCATCATTTTTTTCGTGTTCTTTTTGTTAATATGTTTTATGAGAATGTTCAAATCCTAGATGGATTTTCTTAAAAAAATAAATAAATAAATTTGTTCTTGGTTAGAAAAAAGAGAGTTTTTACTAAATCACTTGAGAACAATGCAGGTGTGAAGCAAGTAGAGGTGAATAGAAAGCAAAGCAAGGTAACTGTAACTGGTTACGTGGACCGAAACAGGGTCTTAAAGAAAGTGCAAAACACGGGAAAGAGAGCAGAGTTTTGGCCCTATATTCCTTACAACTTGGTGGCTTATCCTTATTTAGCACAGGTTTATGACAAGAAGGCACCACCAGGTTATGTTAAAAACACTGTCCAAGCCTTACCTAGCCCAAATGCACTCGATGAGAAGCTCACCTCACTCTTCAGTGATGAAAACCCCAATGCATGTTCAATCATGTAAAGGGCTTGCAAGTTTATAATATATATATATATACATGGTTCTTGCTGTATGCATGGATCGATTTTGAGGACTACTGTAATAACAAGACTTTGATTGAGGCTACTTTATACTCCTGTATGTTTTAAACGACTAGGAACCAAGTTTTGGTGTTGGAAGAATAGAAGAGGATTATTATGTTTGATCACCGTTATTATACTTCATCGTTAGCTTGTACAAACGGATTTGTCTTATTTCTATATTTTTAACTTCTTTATTATGAATTATTATCTAGGATGTTCTATAAGCATTCCAAGTTTGATCACGGGGTATACTTGTTAGAGAATAATATAAATCATTAAAAAAGTTCTCACCCAACACCTTCAACACTTTAAGATTTTGGGTTGAATTGATTTTTTACACAGTATCAAAATTTCAGTGACCTTAAGGTCACGAATTCGATCTTCACTGCCCCCTTTTTTTATGGAATTAAATTGGACACGGTAAACAAAAAATTAGACTTGTGTAATATCCACGCTTCAAGCCCAAAAGTCTCTTGCGTAGATATGTTAGAGAATAATATAAATCATTAAAAAGGCTCTAACTCAACACCTTAAGATTTTGGGTTGAATTGGTTCTTTACAATACTACTTAATGGAAGATAATTTCTTGTAGCTTTATAACATTTCACACAATTTTTATAGGGTTTTATAAGAGTTATGTTGTAGGAAAATGATTGTGTAATGTTATAGAGATTCGTTTTGCGTGTCCTAATTTTTTTTTTGCTTCAAAAAATGTGGGCCCCACAAAATATTGTGTGTAGGAAACTTTTTTATGTCATGTTAAATGATGAGTGCAAACCCCAATTTTATAACAAAAAGGAGCTTTATATATATATATCTGTGTGTGTATATGTATGTATATATATATATATATATATATATGAGGTATGATCTTTTAACACTAGTGTCAAATTTGAAATTTGACACATTATCTGAGAGTTATTAGATCAAAAAAGATCAATGGTGTCACATGTTTACAAATCAAAGTCGTTGATCTTTTTTTATCTAATGACTCTCAGAAGAGGTGTGAAATTTCAAATTTGGTACTGATGTCAAAGAATCTTACCTATATATATATATATATATATATATATATATATATATATATATATATATATATATATATATATATATATATATCAACTTATTAGTATAAAAATAATAACTCTTACCTCAATTATTAATTTTGATTCTACATGTATTTAATGGTTTAGGTGAACTCTGATATTCAATAAATTAGAACATGTAAATGCAAGTAAAATCAACCTTAATAATTGGTGTAAGAACTTTTCCTTTTACATTTGTTTTCAAATACGTTTTGACAAAAAATAACACACAAAAATTTGTATAGCATCACCTACCATCCTGCAAATCTAAAATTGACCCGCTTTAATATTCTTTCAGGTTATTTGGTTGTGTCATGTCGTAGACAGATTACTTGTGTCTTATGTATCATGTAAATCCATATAATAAGTAACATACTTTGGGATTACAGGTTATATATGTCGTGTTGTGTCGTATCAACCCATATAATAATAGACACATTTTGAGATTGTGGATTATTTATGTGATGTGATGTCAACCTGCAAAATAAGTAAGTTGCATTTGTTGTCTATCAAAAAAAAGAAAAGTTGCATTTGTATTGAAGATTTTAACTTAATTTTAAATTCGTGTCATATTCGTGTTCATATATAATTCGTATTGTATTATATCATATCAACTTGAATTGTCACCTCTAATATATAATGAGCGACTTTGAAATTATTGAATTATGCCCAAAAACACCACTTTCATATTTTATTTTTATTTTTTGGATACTTCCATAATCTCTTCCTATCCATAAAGGGTATGTTGGGGAAAGATTTATTCGACCATCAATAATACCTGATCCCGGAATAGTGACCATTTTGTCACGCCTAGCCAAAAAATTTACCAGACTGTCACGTCAATAGTAAATTTTTCCAGAATGCCACGTGGGATAATTCGCTACACTGTGTAGCAAAATATGCTTGCAAATAATTCGCTACATAGTGTAGCGAATTATGCCATGTCAGAATGCACAGTCAGCAATAATGACACATGTCAAGCAGGTAGTAATTCGCTACCATCTGTAACATATTATGTTCGCGAATGATTTTTTGACACGTGACACACTTTTGCAGGAAAAGACTGACGTGTCATAATTCGCTACCACTGGTAGCGAATTTGGTCTGCAATATAACCACGTGTCACGAAATTATTGGCCACGAGATTCACTACCAATGGTAGCGAATTATGACACGTGACAGTCTGGTAAAAAATACTGTTCGCGTGACATTTAGATAAAAATTTGACAAAACATGACATTTTGGTCATTGTTCCCCTGATCCCCCCCCCCCCCCCCCCCCCCCCCCCCCCCCCCCCGCTCCTCTCCAACAATCATTGTCAGCTACACGTACTCAAGACAATTCCTCCTAACAATAGCAACACCCATATTTAATAAGAGTTATATTTATCTCATTCAACATGAAATAAATCAAATTTTTACACACGCATAACAAAAGTGAGCCTCATTTCTATTTTTTCTCTTTCTAATTATTTGTGAATTCCTTTTATGATTTTGTGTCACTAACATAAGATAACCTATCTTCGTGAACATAAGAAAAATATTTTTCATTTAATAAAGACACCAGTGCTCCCACCAGGATCCTAATTCCTGCCATCCAATAGAGAATGTACCCATTAAAAAATAATTGCATACTATATAGACTTTATTCATTTTTGTTATTTATGAATTTTTTTATATAAATATTGGAGTACAAGCAGTCAGGCAGTGAAAGAGAATAACAGTGGAGCAAGTTAGACACATATACTCTAAAGAGTATTTGGAGATTTTACTAGTTTCTTTTGTTTTTTTAGTGGATAAAAGTATTGAGAGATTTAGTATAAAAATATGAAATAAGAAGCCACGGTAATAGGTCTATTAAAGAAAATGATGCTTGACTTCCATTAATTTTTTTTGGAAAAAATGTTTCTGCAGTTATTGCAGATAACTTATCTGCATTTATTCCCAAAACGACGTCGTTTTGGTATTGAAATCTTAAAAAATTATAAATATAAAGACTATTATAACCCTGAAATAAATTAAAATTACAAAAACACCATGATTTCCGGCCCAAAACGATATCGTATTGGGCTTACTGCAAATAATTTATCTGGAGTAACCGCAGAAAAAACGAACCATTTTTTTATTTATTTTTTAAGAAAGCATCAATCTTGGTTTACATTCCGATTGGGACATAACGATTAAGTCATAAAAGGTTGTCATGTCCATTGGTCCCAAATAAAGTATGGGCCGTGATCAGAACCGGTCCATACTCCTCATTCATCATAATGAAGTCAGGGTTTCCATATGGTATGAGATTGCTTGAAAGTAGCTTTCAACATTAGGATTTACATAGACACATCTTCTTCTTTTTTGAACTATAATGGACACATATCTTTCCAACCGCAGTCTTTTCTATATTTGCCTTTGCCAAATTCCCACAAGCAGGAGTGTAGGATCCAATTCAGTGTATATATACTCTATTCTTAGAAAAAGATCAGATCAGGATTCATACACTTACTAGTGAAATTTATGATTATATACTTGGAAGATATCTCATGGAAACAAATAATGTTTGATACCTAATAACTTAAATTTTTTGGTTGAATTGATTCCTTTAAATGATATCAAAGCCTCTTTGATTAAGTGATTATGAGAGAAATACAAAATCATTATTATGACATATAAATTAATTCGTTTGCATAGTTGGCTTTGATTTTAATGTTTTGTTTTGGAAAGGGAAGAGAGAAAGAGAGTTGTCCATCTTTATATTCCATAGGGTGATATTCAAAAAGCAAAAAGAAGCTGGGATTTGGCACACGATCCCACCACTTCGGAACCGAATATGTCTTTGTTGGGAGATATATCGTATATTTCAAAAAGTATTATTGGAAGCTCGACTCGACATCTGTGGGCTCAATTCTACCAAAAGAATAAAATATAAAAGGAAAATGGTAAAGAAGTAAGAGTTAGGATATTCTTACTATCCATTTTTTTACTACCATTTTAATCACCATTGGATTAGAGTAAAAGTTGAATGAAGAGAGAAAAAAAAAAAACAACTTTTGAATCCAATGATAATTAAAGTGATAGTGGAGTGGTAGTAGAAAAAATGATAGTGAGAATATCTTACCTCAAGAACCAATGCCTTTAATATTTTTACTTTGAATACAAATAAATTATTTATATTTACTTTCAAAATAACGTCGTTTTGAATTGAAAGAATAAAAAAATTTAAGGATAAAAACTATTATAACATTGAGATAAATTTAATTACAAAAACACCTTAAATTTTGTCACAAAATAATATCATTTTGAATTCAATGCAGATAACTTTTCTGTATTCATTACAGAAAAAATGAACCCAAAATTACTTCACCCAAAAACTTAAATTGTTATGTTAGATTATATAAATAATTTTTATATTTATCTAACGTGTTGTCATCTGACACAAATATTCATTAAATTTAAAGACTGAATAATATATCAGTCTCAATTTATTTGTGCTAAGAAACGCTGTTAGATAAGTTTACATTAATAGTTTTTATATTTTTTTAATACAAATGTTAAAATGAATGAAAAAAATGTAAATACGGATAATACAACCATACAATTACAAATGAAATGATAGTTACATATATAGATTCCAATGCGTCCTTCCGTCTCCTTTGCTTCTAAATCATCCATCCGAACTAACCCTTAAATATTTTATTTTATTTTTTACTTTTTTATTCCCGGAGTAAATACAGAACAACGTATATGTTGTTGGTAAATATATTAGGGAAAAATTCACCAATGTCTCTGTGATTTGTTTCAGAATCATCTATGTCGCTGTAATTTTTTTTTATCACATATGTTCGTGTGCTTTGTAAAAAATAAAAAATCACATGAACATATGTGATAAAAAAACATACCCATTTGCAAACCACATGACATATGTGATCAAAAAAATTATAGGGACATAAATTATTCTGAAGTAAACCAAGAGGTATTGGTGAACTTTTTTCCAATATATTATCATATATGTTTAATTTGCACAATTTTTAGTACCCCAAATTTTAAAAAATAAAATAAAAATGCTCAGTTTTACAAA